TAGAAATGAAGCTGGGGGGAAATAAAAGGTTTTTGTATTTTACAGTGAAGAAAATGTGTGGAAACTTTGTGACTACATCAGGAGTCAGGATCAATACCCGTTAGAAGAATTTTATGCTGTTTTCATATCCAATGATAGGAGGATGGTGAGTCGATGGGATGTGACCTGAATGCAGCTATGGAGGGATTCAGGCCTTAAGACTGCAGCCCAGTGTGGGTGGGACGTAGTCCCAGGCCTTCAGACCACGGCCTGATGTACGTGAGACAGGGGCCCAGGCTCTAATTTAGACTGCAGCCCAACCTGTAAGGGAGACATGGTCCAAAACCCTCTTGTAGAGCACTTTGGCTGAGAGTCAAACCACACCACATGAAATCCTTCAGCGCTCTGATGCGTTCAGGGCCATGGGGAGAGACATGATGTCCCTTTGAACTGTGGGGGTAATTCTTCCCTGTAACCTGTCAGTTCAGGAGAATGACAATATTAAATTTTCCAGAACAGTATTTCTGCCTTCATACTCCTGAAAGTTAGAAACTAGAGGAAATTTTCTGACTGCAGCAGAAGTGTAAGCTGATGAGAGTACATAGGCTAGCAAAGAACTAACCAATTAACCTGAAATTAATCTGTATTAATCTGAAATAGTTTATTCACTTCAGATTATAATTTATAACTTTCAGATTCCACTGTGGAAGCAGAAATCGGGACGTGGAGATGAGCCTGTTGTCTGGGTAAGGCATTCTGTTCTCTCAGTAATTTTGAGTGAGTGCTTCTGCAGTTGATAGGTGCAAGATCACACATGGGCAGTGTCAGCCATCTTCACCATAACAAAATCTTACCTTTATCTTCCATCTGAACATAATTAAACACTTTTTTTTTTTTTTTTTTTTTTTTACTGTGGGGGTTATGGAAAACTGGGGCAGGTTGACCAGAGGTTGGGGAGTCTCTTGTTGTGGAGTCTCTATCCTTGGAGATATTCAAAAGCCATCCGGACATGTCCCCAGTCCGCTGGTTCCAGATGTCCCCCTTGGTCCTTGGTTACACCAGATAACCTCCAGAGGTTTATTGCAACCTCAACCATTCTATAGTCTTGTATTAGTATTCATTATTCTTTTGCAACAGATTGATAAAGAGCCTAAATCTGCTGCTCCTTTTTAACATTCATAGTAAATTAACAGCAAGGCAGTCAGTAAAATCTACAGGTGACAAACCTTAACATTTGTAAGAGTACATAACAGATTTGTGGAAATTGTTGTCTGGATATTGTTGAGGCTGCCAGCTTTGTAGAGTTTTAAGTAGGTGTCTGGACTTGTAGGAAGTAGATGAAAAATATTCCTGTAGGCCTGACAAAGGATAGACAGAAAAATTGAAGTAATATATATGTATTCTGGTGTCAGCAGTTAAACTGACCCCTGATAAATGGTGGCTTTGGAGTGTCATTTGATCAATGAATCTAATTTGGTAATTGTTATAGAATTCCTTTCCTACTGTATTATTGCAGAGTTACACAAACCCCTTTGTGATTTGTTGTGTTTGTTTTTTTTTTTTTTAATATTGAAAGTGTCAAAAGGCAGTGCTTCAAACTTCTGTGTGAGTGGATTTAATGTAATCTTTAGTAAGCTGTTAGCTGCTACCTTCAATTTAATTTTGGAAAACGAAATTAAATACCTGGCACCTAACATAAGTAACTCCAGTTTTTCTAAAGCTCCACCCACAGCTGTATTTCTTACAAGTTAAGGAATAAAACAGAACCTCAGAACCCAAATGTCAAGACAAAATAGTTACCTCAAAAAAGTGTGGTACCCATGGTTTTTTTATTTCCAGCTTCAAGAGCTAGTACAGGAATTTGATTCCTGTGGTCCTCTTGATCTGAGCCATTTGCTGCATTTTCAGTTGCAGGCTGTTTTTTCAGCTGCTTCTGGCAGCTAAGCAGTTGGCACTCAGACCATGTTACTGCAACAGGTATAACATCTTATTAGAAGAGCTCACTAGATAATTTTAATGTTACGCTATCATCATATATTGTTGGAAGCTTTTATTTAGGGCTAAGTCTAAGCCAAAAATGCTCATCCCACTCAACTTTTGCATTTTGATGTGGGATGTGGAAGACATTTGCTTTTTTCTCAGGAGTAGTGTGCACTTTTAGTTTAGCTGCCCAGGCTTAAATCAAAGGAGGCTGCAAAGGAATGGGAAGAATATCAAGGTTTCTTCAGAGGTAAAGTGGGTGAGACAGGCATAAAGAAATTTCTCTCCTAGTGCCAGAAATGTTATAGGCTTAATATTTCAAGGGCAGAAAGCAGGATTTAAAGAAAGGGTCTGTAGCTTCTGCTTTTAGGATGCATGGTTTGTTTTTTTTTTTTTCACTCCCTTTGCCAGTTTCTTCTGAACAGCTGTTTAACTAATGGCAGCTACCCTTCCTCCCAGGACTACCACGTTATTCTACTCCATGTTTCCAGCGGGGACCAGAACTTCATTTATGATCTTGACACAGTCTTGCCGTTTCCATGTCCTTTTGATGTGTACAGTATGGAGGCCTTTAGGCTGGATGACAGCCTTCGTCCAGAATTTCACAGGTGATGATGTGAAAGATAAAGACTACGAATGTTATTTCATGAAATCAAAGTTAACGTTCTCTTTGTGGATGTGTACTGACAGAGGGTTTTTGCTATACTCCAGTAAAATAAGTGCACTGTGTTATTTTTCTGAAGCTTAGTCATCAAAAACCCTTTTCTTTACTACTGTAGTTTCTTGTTAACTAGTTCACTGCTTGGCATAGTGCTGATTTATGTATTTAATGAAATTAATGCTTCCTGATGGGAGGAAAGGGCTCTTTTTCAGTGTGACTAATGTAGCATTGTGAACTTGCATCTCTTGATACAATTTTGCATTGTCATTTAGGAAAATCAGAGTGATTCGAGCAGATTTGTACTTGAAGACATTTGCTTCAGACAGATCCCATATGAAAGATGCAAATGGGAAATGGCAGAAACCTCCTCCTTCATACCCGTGCATTGAAACTGCAGGTAAGCTGCCAGGCCTCCATTTTCCTCTTTACAGTGTTGAATGACACAGTCTAAGATGCACACAAGAAATAAATACACTTCCATAACATGTCCAGAAGCACACCCCACTAGCTTATTTCATATGGAAAAAAAATAGGGCAATGAAGCATTTGGCACTTTGTTTTCTGAACATGTAAACTCTAGCATGCCTCCTGGCATTTACTGTTATCAAACATTAATTGCTGATCTTCATACACTGAGCAGAGAATCAGAGGTAAGTAATACCATTCTCTAGTTACATCGGGGAACTGAAGCAAAGAGGCCAAATGACTTGCTATGGGGTCACAAAGTGAAATTTTAACACACTGATTGTACCTCACTTCAGCTGTCAGGTCGCATCGTGCCATAGCAGGTTATGTTGACAGAAGGAAGTTTCTGGACTCCGCTCGGTGTGCTGGGCTTGCTTGCACAAGACGTTTGAGGTTTCTGTACCAGGTGAATGGAGCTGAGCCTACTTTAAGGCAAACTGGCAAATCAGCAAATTTTTCCCCAAGCCTTAAGCCTCTTTGAAGCGATAGTCAAGGTAACAGCCCCTGGGCCAAGGAGGGAGAGAGATAAAGACCTTGAAGCCATCTCTTGTTTTCTGTAGGGCTGCTTAAACCGTCCTTATCATGCAGCACTTCATCCTGTTCTAGTCACGTGTTTGGCAAGCTGGCTAACATTTGCCATGTGGTTTTCTCTCACATCCTTCCCAGATGGAGAAAAGTGTGGTGAAGCTTTGCTTTGAAGGAGTTTGTTATTGATCTGCGTGTTTGGTCATCTTGCTCTTTTAATAATGCAGTACTGCTACACCTTTGTGTTAGAGAAGGCAGGATCAGAGAAACATGTTCAGTGTTCAGGGACAAGTTTATTGTGGTTTTCAGCTGCTGGGAAGTTAATTCTCAGTCTTTGCTTTGGCTTCTGAGGAAGCTCGGTGTTTCACAGTAGAGTAGAAATTATGAATGTGGGCAGGAGCACAGATGTAGTCTTTGTTGTGAAGCTTTAGGTATTTTCTAGACAGTGTAAGTTAAGATGCATATTAAATTCTATGTCTTGGTCCTTATTTCCAGTAAAGTTTCATATAAAGGTGGTGTGGGGAAAGCCTGAACTGCAATCTATCATTCACTGTTAGTTGGAGCCTTCTAGACATGGAGAACTTTTTGTCTGTGGAAACCTTATTGTTGTGATTGTTGAGAGCTAATGAAAGTGTGAGGAATATAGATCAGGCCAGACCAGGAAGGTGAAAGAGCTCTACTCAAGAGAGCAGAAAACATTACGTATGGATGGTAAGTTAAAGAATGACTCAAATGGCTGCAGGTGTGTGTGTGTGTGTACTTCTAGCTGTAGTGAATGACTCCCTAGCTGCAAACCCTGTAGCTCTCCCCTTTTCTGTCTTGCTTGGCTAACCTTTACCTCGCTGGTAAGCAGCAGCCACATGGTCTCAAACAACTTCTAGATCATCTCTATGATGTTGGGAGACAGTGAAAGATACATAGATCCTCATTCCTCTTTTGCTTTATGTGTTTGCTCTGTACCCTGCTGTGCTGAAAGAAACATCCAGATGTCATCCAGTCCAACACCTGCTCAAACCAGGAGTTCCTTAGGACTCTGTCCATTCTAGTTGTGAACACCTCCAGGGATGGAGATTTTGACACCTTTCTGGATAATCTGTTCAAATATTTGAACACATTTGTGGTAATAAAAAAAATAAAAAATATTCCTAGTAAGTATTCAAAATTTCTAGTGTTCCAACTTGGGGTTTTTTTTGTTTCTTGTCCTGTCACCATGCTCTCCCAAGAAGGCTCTGGATCCATCTTTGTTGTGCCTCCTGAGGTAGACATAGACAGCAGTAAGGTCTGCCCTCCATCTTCTGTTTAAGACTGAACAGGCCCAGTTCTCTCAGCCTTTGCTTCAGTATCATGTTCTGCTACAAACAGCTTGATGTCCCTCTTCTGGGCTCACTCCAGTATGTCAGCATTTTGAGGTGGTGGTTGATTGGTTGTTTGTTTTTTGTACTGAGGACTTCTGAACTGGACACGGTATTCCAGCTCTGCTCTGATGTGCTCTGGTCTCCTGGTCAGTTGGCTGATTGAAACTGGTTCCCCTGCATCCATTGAAGGTCTTTCACTAGACAGTTACAAGATGTGTCGGAACAGGAATAGATTGTGGCAGATCTAGGATGACTAGTCAAAGTTGTGTTTCACTCAGTACCAGTTTCTCCAGATTTTTTTTGTTTTCCCTGTATTCACTTGAGGTATCTTATAATGGCATGTGCTTCAGTGCACCAGTGCAGTAGGTCAGTGAGGAGTCCAGGTTCAACTGTTGTGGGACAAGCACGTGCTGTAAGTTTGAGCTGAATCTAAGTCCTGTGCTTCAGTCACATGGGTATGTAGATGAGTGCCTGTCCTGCAGGCCAACATACAGGTGTAGGAAGCATTGCTGTCAACAAGTGGAACTGGTAATTCCCTTCCTTTAGAGACTGGTCAAGTAATGTCTCGGCACAGTTTTATCAGGCATAAAAGCACCTTCTTTTAAACTTGGTGGAAAACTGGGTGGCAGACTTTTTGTTATCATAAAAGAGCCTGAGGTATTAATGTTCACATCCATGCCAAATTCCATTGCAGATAACTTGTCTCCCTGCCGTTTCACTTAGATAGCACTTATTCTGCTTTCTGTGTTGACTTGTGTTTGCCTATGATTAAATTGCTTACATGTTTTGTGTTAGAGGTGACTGCAATTTAATGGCTGACAGAATTGACCACATACTGTTTCACTGTCAGTTTATTTGTGAGGCACGTTTAGATCAGAGCATTATTATAATTATTTTGCTGTCATTTAGTGTAGCCAGAGCTCTTGAGAAGATGACTACAAAAGCATACAAGGATTTAATATTTTTGTTTGCTATGTGTCTTCTTTAATATTAAACAAATGTTTGAAGACTGACAAAATACAATTAAAATATATCAGTGGTTTTTTTGAATGTATGGGCATTGTGATGTTAAAAAGAAACATGCCCATGAACTCTTGATATTTAAAGATAATCAGCATTCTGGTACCGTTGTGTTGGTACAATTTGCTATGCATTAAAGCATATTAGTTACATTTACATACACCACTCTTCTTATTCCACTTAAAATACTGGAGTTTGAAGTTTTTAGTAAACTTACAAAGACATGAATGCTTGCTCTTGATTCTAAAATATTATCTCTTCCAAAGTAGATCAGCTGTTAAGCCTGAATATAGCACTATGGAATAAGGAATTCTGTAGTATCTAAGTTAGAAGTAAGTAAATAGGAACATCAGTAAAATAACTTAATTACTCAGCGTGGGGCTAGGACTCGATACTAGGACCAGCAATCCTTTTTTATGAAGTATGCCAGGAAATACTTAATGACCATTAAATTCCTTTTGGAATTGAATCAAAGAATCTCTATCAGTAAGCAATTAAGCATTTTTTTTTTCCTACCACTAACTGAAAAGGATTAATTCTTAAACGGTATTTGTACTGCTTATGGAGTTGCAAAACAAATCCTCTAAAATAAGGTTATCTTGAGTCATTGTTGTAGTTTAACCCCAGCTTGCAACTAAGCAGCATCCATTTTGCTCACTCCTCCCTGCAGTGGAATGGGAGAGAGAATTGGGGGAATAAAAACAAGTAAAACTTGTAGGTTGAGGTAAAGACAGTTTAATAGGACAGAAAAGGAAGGGAAAGTAATAATAGCCTACAAAACAAGGGATAGACAGTATGATTGCTTACCACTCAGCACTAGTTGCCTAGTCGGTTCCCGAGCAGCAGCCCCCAGCCAGCTTTCCCTCTCTGTTTATATACTGAGTGTGACACCACTGGGTATGGAATGTCTCCTTGGCCAGTCTGGGTCAGCTGTCCTGGCTGTGTCCCCTCCTAGCCTCTTGTTGCCCCTCCAGCCTCTGCTGGCAGGGCAGGATGAAGAGCTGAAAAGTCCTCGACTTACTATAAACACTGCTTAGCAACAACAAAAACATCAGTGTGTTATTAACATTGTTCTCATCCTAAATTTAAAACACAGCACTGTACCAAATACTAGGAAGAAAATTAACTTTATTCCAGCAGCAACTAGGACAGTCATAAATCCCAGTCCATGCTTAAAAATGACACTGGAACTAAGTGATTTTTTTTTGTTTGTTTTTAAGAAAATAATGCTAAGGTTATTAAATTTAAAAAAAAAAAAAAATTTAAAAAAACAACAACAACCACAAACAAACAAACAAAAAACACACCAGCACAACAAACAAAAAATAGTCCCAAACCAACCAACTAAACAAAAAACCCCTTGAGCTCCTCAGTATCTCATCAGAACTCCCATGCTGAGCAACTGGCTCAGCTCTAGCTGTGTCCCAGGGGTAGCCCTCTGTGCTTCTTGCTGGCATTGCCCGGCCTCTGTTCTGCTCCGCTGCCGTGCGCGGCGGGAGGAGCTGCCTACCCTCACGGGGCGCACGGGCTTCTTTCAGCCAGCCCATTCCTCAGAGCAGCTCTGCTGGAACAAGCATATCTGAGCTGCAGCAGAGTCCCCTGGTCCCACCTGGCTGCCAGGGGCTTCCTGTCTTCCTTTGACAGGGGTGAGTCTGGTATTTTGTTCAGATACTAAAAATTAATAAGATATGGTTTGGGACACAGATTGCTCATTCTGGGTATGGCAAGCCCAGCCTGGGGTTTTCTTTTAAGCCTTCTCTCCACAAATTAATGAGGTCTGATTCTGCTTAGTTCATAAGTCCTGATGAGATCAGCCCTCCTTACTGCCAGCCTGTGTAAAATACAGCTTGCACAGTGCATTTCAGAATTACCCAGAACAGATGGTCTTGTGGCTTATGTACAACTGTTAGCCCCAGCTGTAATGCTGAAGAGCCTTGGTTTGCATTTCAGTTCTCCCTAGGTGTTAGGTAGCACACTGGCAGGATTGGTTTGTAAAACCTTTTTGTTGTTTTTATTATGATTGAAATCCATGGTAGTCACAAATTGTGGGGTTTTACTTGTTCAGGGCTTTATTATGTTTTAAAGGAGCACGAATAAGACAGCTGGGAAATTCTGTAGGCACTGAGTATGACAAGTCTGGGTAACAGGGGAGCTACTAGACCGGAGCCAGGCAGAGGTCTGCAGTTTCTTTATCTCCTCTCTGAGGTGGTAGGATCCTAGTGAAAGTGAAAATGAAGCACTGGTAGGGATATAAGTAGCTCATACACACTTCATGAGAACCTTTTGTTCCTTTAACTTGAGAATAAAACTTGTCTGTCAAGTGAGGTCCTTATTTCATGAGCTTTTGTGGAGGTAAAGAATCAGGTGAGGATAGAGCCAGTAAAAGTACATCTGTATTTCATTTTTGTGAGTGGCTGGTTGAGATTACACCACTTTCTGTGAAAGATAAGTTAAGGTGATGAGCTTTGTCTTGCACTGAGGTGGGCTGGGATGGTTTGCACAGTCAGTAACATCTCAGCTTGGAGAAGACAGTGCCATCCCCTTGAGTGTGGTAACAGCATTTCCGACTCTGCCTGCAAAAACACTTCTCTCCCTGCTCAGGCAAGTGAGAGGGATCTGAAGAGAACTGTAAAGGCTCTGAAGAGCCAAAATTTCTAATCATTTTGGATACCCCCAAGGTTAGGCAGCAGCAGAGCTGATCTTGGAGGCTTTATTTCAGACTTCCTCACCTCCAGAAGACTTTTGGCTGCTTTCTAATCACTATTGGCAGAAGCCTGAAGTATCATGGAAAACAATGCCATCTGACAGTGCATGGCCTTTTTTGTCCCTGCTCAGGGCAGAAGTGTCTTACTTGATTATAAAAATAATATTATACAGGAATCCCAGAATGCACCAGCTAGGTCTCAGTGACAATCTGCGTGTGTAACAAAGTGGGTTTCATCAAAGAGGAAGATTATCTCTGAGCATGCACAAATGTAAGCTAGTATAATAGCCACAGCACCTGAGGAGGACTGCAAATGTAATGTAAACTTTAATTTTTATTTTATTTTATTTTTTAATTCTGCTTCTCTTGCCTTTAAGTGTTCTAAGAAGCATGTTCATCCTTGCTTTTGCAGAGAAACCCTCTTGGTTTTGGAACTGTAGCATCCACATGTCTCCCTCGTAAATTCTGTTGTTTGTTACTCTTTTATCTGCTTCAGGAAGGCTGCAAGGTCTAACATAACATGCGTGGCACTCAGATACAGATACATGAGTAAGAGTGGCAAGAGTTACCTCCTGTGTTGAATAAAACAGGAGAGGTCTCACTGTTTCTGCCCATGGATAGTTCTCGTACAGCTTCAGTGCCATCTACTGACTGGTTCATAGGCCGTCCACTCTTCATGGGAATGTTCTTGTTTGTTTTGTTGAAACGATTTTTAATTTCATTAACTTTCTCTGATGGACTGTGTTATGCTCTGCCCCGATCCTTCTGAATTTAAGAGAATATTTCACTTCTACAGACATCGTAACAGCAGCTTCCAAGTTGGTACCAAACAGCAGCTGTGTTTGGAACTGCTGGAACAATCCCTTTTGGGCTTCTTTATCATTCACAGAACAGTTTTAAGAAATTATTTTTCTACTATGCTCAGTGCACATAAAGCAGGGGGTTATTTATCTTTCAAATCTTAAACAGTATGAAGAATCACATTAATTTTACAACAAAAGCATCTGGGAGGAAAAGACAAGTTGGGAATTGGAAAACAAGCTTACAAATTTACCAGAAAGCAAAAGCTGTTATCAGCTGCTAATTGTTCTTGTGCTACAACAGCAAATTGCTGTGCTGGTGGTATTTAAAATCTTTACACAGGCAGAAATTGGCCCTGCCCTGCCAGACTCACCTCAGCAGTGGGAAGGCACTTGGCTGAATGTGAGGATTTTAAATGTGTGGAGGCCAAACAGGTTAACAAGAAAAGTGTGAGGGGCCAGTCCTGGGAAGTGGTGAGAGCTGGGATTAGGCAAATCACAAAGCTGTGCTGTAAGGTAGATGTGCTGCAAACAGAGGGCTTTGGGGGCTGGATTATGGCTGGGACTCCTGGGTCTGGGATTCCTGAACATTGTCTTCCCTTCCTCACTTACACTGCCCATAGTGGTAAGCCTAATTACACAAGCTTTTTGCAGCTGAGGCAAATTCCATCATATGGATTTTCTAATCCACTCATTAGAGCCTACTCTTGTTTGGTTCTTAATCCTTAGATGTGCACATGAATCACCCATGTTAAAATAAATACTTAAATGTAGCAGGGAAGCTGTAACAGTAAATCCAATGATGTTCTCACTCTGTTCATTAAACTCGTTCTCTTCCAGTTTTGTTTTAATGGGCATTTTAAAAGATTATTTACACAGATCATCAGTGAGAACATAAAACAAGCCCACGATGTCTGTAGTCAGCGCTGAATAGGCTGAGGAATTGGAAACCTCTGATCGGCATGGTTCTGAGTCAGCAAAGCTCATACCAGGCCAGCTCCAGAAAAAAAGGATGTATAAGGCACCTAAACCCAAAACCACACAGCAGCACTTTCCACTGAGCTCTCTGGGATCCACAAACAGGACAGTGGTTTATAGCTCTTGGGTGGGGTCAAACGCCTGGCAGAGAGCAGTCGTGCTTACTTTTCTCTTGAAATCATAGCAGTTAACCTTTTTCCCTGCTAGCCTCATTCCGTGGTTTAGGATTCAAATCTATCATGTTTACCCCCAGACTAGGTTTGTGCCCTTTGCCTGAGCAGCCCTCAAGGCTGTGGGCTGTGCTTCCTACAGTCTGCATTTCTGGCCTTGCAGTGCAGTTGTGTGCAGCGAAGAAAGAATTTGGGGCTGGGGGGAAAGCAAATACTGTAGCCTGGGGAGTAACAAACTGTAGGTTTGCCAAGGGGCGAATTGCTCCTGAGAGACACTAAACAACTTCAGTTGTCACTGCTGCTCTGATCCAGTGCTTCTGCAGTCAGTGCAAAAGTTGACTTAGTTGACTTAGGTTCAGAACTTAATGGGGGAATAGTATCTCCCCTGCCTCTGAGTAATCAGATTTGTATGAGGGCAGGGAGACTACAAGACCGTGGCAGTGCTGTTCCCTGCGTTGGTTGTTATTTGCACCACAGTTCTCTGATGCTGCTTGACCCTTCCAGGATGCTGTTGCAGGGAAGAATCTTACTTTCCTGTGCATACTGGTATCAAATGACTAAGGATGATTACCGATCCAGTAATGTGATTGTTGCCATGGGCAGAGAGAGGGATCAGGGGCAAAAGCAGCATTTTGGAGACTGGAAATAGATGTATCCATAGCACCGTACAATTAGCAGAGTCTTGCTGGACTGCTCAGCAAGTGTGCAAGGAACTCTTTGCTATTTTTGCTGAAGTATCAAAGAGGGGTTGGGGGGCTATTTCTTGGTAGATATGTACCTGTGCTACAGAAGCTGCACCAGGAACTTAAATATTTCCCTTTTCTGGTCCTTTTTTAGACTCCAAGATGAACTTGGACGATTTCATCAGTATGAATCCCAAAGTGGGATGGGGCTCAGTGTTCTCCCTTCGGGATTTCGTGCATCGATTTGGCAGACAGACTGAATACAGCAATTCCTTGAAAGGACAGTGAAGTGAGCAAGGAAGTTCTCCCTGCTTGTCCTTTGAGGGGGTGTGTTTTGTTTTGCTGCTTTTACATTGTATTTATGTTTTACTTTTCTGTACATTGAATAAGTATTTGGGAAAATAGAATACCCAATCAGAAATATCATGAACTGAATAAAACCTTTTATTTTGATTACATAAGAATGAACTTGTTTTTTCATGTCAAATCAAAGGCAGACATCTCATAGGCATACTACTCTTCCATCTACTGTGCCCAAACTGAAAAGAGCATTTACATTCTGTAAGAAAAGCTTTTGGAAAAATAGATGCATAAAATGCTTAACAATGTAGCTCAAATTTCTATATGTTGCCGGATTTTAGAAGGGAGACACAGTATATTTTCTTCATGTTGTGTTTTCTATCACTTACATAAACAGACTTTGCATCTCTGTTTAGTCACTGACTTTTATCAGTTAGGCCTTACGCAGCAGAAGCCTTGAGGCCAGACCCACAAAGGCAATAAAGATTTAACAGTATGATCTTGAACTCCCCTCAATCACTACGTAAAACCAGGTAAGTATCTAGGTGACTGTACGAGGGGAGAATTAAATGCCTGGTATCTCAGTTAAACTGAGCTAATGCTGATGGTTGCTGGAAGATCCAATTGCTTTCTCCTGTTACACTGGCTGCACATCCTCCCCTGCCCCATGTGCTTGTACCTGGCATTTGTTGGGCCCCATGGTAATCCAGGGTAGGGAGCTAAACCAATGGAAAGAAGTAAGGTTGGTTTTTTTTCTGCCTCTTAGCTCCTTGAGTGGGCTTTGCCACAAGGTGAGACAGCTGCTCTTGCTGGTATAAGGAAATCAGCAGGGACATATGGCTGGGGGGAAGGGAATGAGAAAGCCTCCCCCATACAGGGTCACTTGGGGCTGAATTTCCTTAGAGGTGATACCAAACTGCATCCTTGCAGAGGAGCCCTAGAAAGCCATCATGCTGATTGGGGGTTTGGAGCAAAGTCTCCCACATCTTAGAAGAGTGCCCTGAACATGGGGTTACAGCAATAGGCTAAGATGGGTTATTTAATTCTCTGCTTTTGGACCTACTCTACTTTACATACTAGCATAGCAGCACAGACATTCCTGTGAGAAGAGTCACGTAGTCTCTAGCCTGATCTGTTCAACTCAGTTCAGACCAGTTCCATTCTGTTCAAATGCACAGTAGCAGTTTTAAGTGTTAGGGGATCATTTTATTTCAAAGTACAGAGAAATATAAAACTTCAAAGATATGTATATTACCATTACATAGCTGTACTATTATATGTATTCTACTACTGTATCTCCCATCAGCTCCGGAGAACTTACTCAGCATGTTAACAGCAGAGACAGACTGCTGAAGAACTGTGGGATTGATTCACTTCATCCAGACATCTCTGATTATATGAGGACTGGCTAAATGTAGAAACTTACATTTTCTGTTGCCAGATGGAGCACACCTGCTTGGCTATGCAGAGAGGCTGCTACCACATGGATTCCTGGGGTGCCAGCACAGACTATGGATGGGAGACCAGTTGTCAGGGTGCTCATCTGCAGAGTGGGAGAGCTGATTTGTCATTTCTGTGAACTAGCTTCACCAGAAGAGATTGAGATGATAGAATTTGAGATTCCTGATAAATCAGTGCTCAGAGCTCTCCCAAGATGGGGCAGCTCTGGATTTAACTAGATAGACCTGTATAAAAGATCAGATTTATCAGTGTTTGGATGAAATGGCAGCTCTTTCTGCATGGTGCTAATGTGGCAGGCATGCTTTGAATGAGTGAAGACATTGTTATTCTACTATTTTTGAGCACTGTCAGGACTGGTGAATGTGCACAGCAGCAGAACTTTGCCTGCTTGGCTCTGTACAGATGCTAACGCAGTGCCCAGGGCATGGCACACACTGCCCAGGTTGGACAGCAGCAGAACACAGAATTTAAAGATCCACGTTTTAATTGAATGGGGTAGAATAGGCACTTTTTATCCTTCAAGTCAGTGATTGAATCTCAAATACACAGAGTTTCTGTACATTACTCAACAGGCCCTTTGAGTTGTTGCAGAACATTAGGTTCTCATTCCTGCCTACTTGAGTATGTCATATGATTTAAGTACTGAGCTGCCACCCTCTACTGGTTTCTGGAGTCCAAAATCCATGACACACTCCCTTTAGTGAGGCTCAGACACAAGAATTTGCCTCATTTAATCTAGTTGCAGGATCAAGGCCACGAAGAAGAACAGTTACAACCATTATTCAGAATATAGAAATTTAAAAAAAAAAAAAAAAAAGCGTGAAGAAGATTCCTCTTACAGATGCATAATTTTACATGTCACAGGCTCTGTGTGTGTGATGATAGCTTTTCTATAATTAGCAATAATTTTGTAGCTCTTGTGAAAAGTTGTCATTCCAGAGGGATAGGTAAAAGCCAGAGAATTATTTCATTCGGTGCTGAGGGTGTTGATATTGTGTTGCTATCTCTGTAGCCCTTCAAGCCTGGCAGCATTTCAGCACCATTTGAGAAGGTGTGCTATCAGACAGAAATGAAATAATGTGACAGCTCTGACATCACTGCAGGACTGATTTGCTGGGGTGAACAGACACAGCAGGATCAGCATGTGCTCACCTATACTCCCTGCAGTCGATAGCTTTCCATTCCCTTTCAGCCTTCTTTACTTGTTCCTTTCTCACACTGAAGTCTTTCTGTTGTCCAATTATTACAGCATTTATGTGCTGAGAGCCCTTGTATGGTGGCTTTTTGGACTAGGTCACCTTTGAGTCAGGAACTGAACAAAGTGAGGAGAAGAGCCCTGCGCCCTCAGGTCAGTTACCCACAGTCCCACAGCTTCCATATTCTGTTGGTTACTGAAATTCTCCAACACTTTTACCTCTAGACATTGTAGGGCAAGATCCTGAGAGCTTTATGCTTATAATGAGAGGACTAGCTCACAGCTGGGACACCCACAACCCTCCTGCCTTTCTTTCACAGCTCATTTTTGGTTAAGAGTATAATTTATTTGACAACTAACCTCTTTTATTTGCCTGTTCGGGACTTTAGAAAAAAAAAAATGCTGTTTTTTCTGGCATGTATTTGCTTGGTCAGCAAATTTTTGCAAACTTCTATATGGCCAGGTCTGCCTTGTGAAAATACCATTTCTCAGTTGGCCAGCAGAGAGAGCAGTCAGCATGCAGTGGACGTGCAGGTTGGGACGCTTGGCCAGAGACACTCTCCCGCACGCTCAGCCCTGCCAGTACCTGTTACAGCTGAAAAAAAAATGAATTCCGAGAGCATCTCCCAAGGTTGTGGCTAATGGGCTACACATTGCCCTTGACTGCCTGAGTCTCTAATGTTGGTGCAAGTCCTTCCTGTGCATCAAGGAATATATGCCAGCATCATCAAAGCACCTACCAATTTTTGAGACTCTGTTCAGCATTCACAATCCCTGCCGAGATGGGTGTGTGACACCTTAGAATATCAGACTAATTGCTTCAGTATCAATTTATGGACTTCAGAAGCTAAATACAGGTACCTGGGATGCTGCAATCTGATCTGCTCTATTAAGGAGGCAGGGAGGCATTGATGTGCATTTGTGTGATTCAGATTCCAGGATGAGAGCCCCAATTGGGGCATTTCAACCTGCGTGGCCTCCTCTGCTCACCCTCTCATTGTCCAGCCCAAGCCTCATATGTACTCTGAGGCACTGTTGCTCTCCAAATGTTTATTGTAAAGTGGCCACCTCAGGAGTCCCCTTCTCTTCTGTTAGAATGACTTTAGTCCAAATTTTCTCATCTTTCATATTTTTTTTTTCTCCACTCTTTCTCAGCAAACACAGGTTGTAAACTGAATGACTTGAGAAAACTCTACCAAGGAATAGGAAGGAAGGTGAAAATCCCACTGTGTCCCTGCAGGAGTCACAGTTTCCTCCCATTGTGTGCCTTGCAGAACCATTACTGAGGCACCATCCATGACCTAGGTGGTGGCTGTGCCCTGCAACTGGCACGAGCGACACTGCTGGGGAGGAGGACCTGCAGAGCATCACTTCACACATTGCCTGGCTTAGCAGATGGCTCCAGGTTTGGGGGGGCTGCCCTCCTATGGCACATTGGATTCATAGGCTTGGAGAATCTCATCTCCTCTTGAGATGAAACCTGTCTGGACATCTGTCTTTCTTCAGGTAATTACCTATTCAGAAATTTGAGGGAGGGAATGCGGGTGATTTTCTTTCCCCTTCTGGCTTCCGCCTAATGCAGGAGTTGGCCCTGTTGAGGCTGAGGTTAATGAAGCATACCCCGCGAGTGAGTGTCTCGAGACATCTGCTCAGGTTTGCTCAGAGCTGCGTGCGCCCTGCCCCGTGGAGCTCGGCTCTCAGGGAAGGTTCTCATTTGTGATCCTGGAGTCAGAAGCGGTGCACTCCATACAAACGCAGCCTTTCCACAAGTGAAGTGCAGCTGCAGTAGTGTTTCTGGAAAATCTCTTCAGTTTGACCTAAGATAAACAAATATGGTTGCTTAAGTATCCTCACTGTTTCCTTATAGTAGGAAATACCTTGGATATTGAGGGCAGCTAAAACAAATCTTACTTAGTTATCTAAGGCCTCTGGCAAGTCCTTGAGTTTCTGAGCGAGCGAAGCCACTTCCTAGGCATAAGGCATACCAAGCTTCATTGTATAGGGTAAAAATGTGTGTTCAGAGGACCTGAGCTGTGAACTGTCACTCACAAAGTCCGAGTGAAGTGGCATTATTCACCTGAAGCTCATTTTGCATGTCTGGCACTGGTGCAGAGATGAGATGGGTGTTTCCGACAGGCCGAATTCCTGACATTATATTACTTAAAAGCAGGAAATGCTCATTTGGCCTGGTTCAGTGTCACACCAGCCTTCCTATGCAAGGCTATATCTGGAACCCAAACGCTGCAATAAGGCAGGAATCATTATATGTTATTTTTTTTTTTAAACAGCCTACACAGTAAGAAGATGGTAGTTATCTCAGCCTTCCCTTCCTTTTAGTATGCAATTGTGGCGGCGCGCTTCCCACTGGCTTGGCTCGGCTCGGCTGCCGAAATGGCAGCGCACCAGCTCTGCGCTTGGAGCCATCCCGAGAAAACATTCTGCTGTGGCTTTTAACCATTTAGCTATAAAGCTCCCTCTGCTTTCACCATTTCTAACTGCT